ATTAAATAAAATAAAAACAAAAAAAAAAAATCATGATAGAATAGAAATTTGTTATTTTTTTTGTTACTAAAACAATTCAAAAATTGAACATAAATATTGATTTTTCAAGTAATACTAACAAACAAACCATAAATTTTTAATTAATTAAATCTTTTTAAAGACAAATACACATTTCTATTAACCTTTCTTTTTTTCCCTTATCAATTAATCCAATTATTCTTATTTATTATTACTATATCTAATCGATAGTGCTATCTTTTAACATTAAATAAAAATTTTACTCAAAAAAAAGAAGAAAATGACACGTTCATTGATTACTTCGGTGAGTTTATCGTTGCTAAATAAACACGCCAGGTAGCAATTGAGCAACTTTGTGGTGTCGCAGCATAATGCCGCCACATACATTGAATTAAGCGCGCAGCTGGTACACGTCGTCTAATTAAATGCTTTTGACGTTGATGCTGTTGTACTTTTAAAGCAAATCCACTACCCAAAATACCCTTTAAAAAAATTTTTTGCACGATATTAATGAATCAGCGGGAAATTATCTACCTGCAATGCAAGAACTGTTATTATTATCATTATTATTATTATTGTTATTATTATTGTTATTATTATTATTATTGTCATTATTATTGTTATTATTACTATTGCTATTATTGTTATTATTATCACTATTATTATTGTTGTTATTATTCGTAGATAAATATAAACTCCAATTAGAAGGAATATATATTGGGAATTTGGTATTTCAATATTAGTTTTTTGTAATTAATAAATGAAATTTATATATGTTTTATTGAGGAAAATTTGTAGTAAAGATAAATTTTCTTATTACATTGATATTGACGTGAGACAATTGCGCTCATTTGAAATTACAAAAAATCACAATAATATATTGTATATTTTGAAACGATATTTACGTTTGTAGATTTTGAAAATGGAAAAAAAAATAACTTACAGCAGGAAGAGCAAAAAATGAAATGCCAAGAAGGGCGCAAAAAGCTGCAATCATTTTACCAGGCCATGTTTCTGGTGTCTTATCACCGTAACCAACAGTTGATAAAGTTATCTGTTAATAAACTTTGTTTGTTTTTCTCGTTTTCTTTACATGTGAAATCATTTTATTTACTATTCAAAATTTCAATTTCTAGTAAATAAAATAATTTTTTTCATTTTATTAATCAATTTACTAATGGTGAAAAAAAAAAAATTCATAAAATTGATTAATTCTTTCTTTTGTTTTCGAATGAAACAAATGTAATTACAACTACAATATGATATTATGATAAAAGATATGATATTATGATAAATATGATGTTATGATAAAAGATATAATAATTTACCACTCCCCACCAAAGAGCATCCGCAAATGTTGCATATTTCTCATTGGTACTCTTTTCACAAAGGTAAACAAGAAATGAGGAAAAGATAAGTCCAAGAAAACCAATATATAAAGTTGTGAGCAATTCCTGAAATAATTTAAACGATAAGCAATAATTTAACAAAAAAAAAAAAGACATATGATAGCAAATATTGCAAATTAAACATTTTCATTTATTTAATTAAATTTTTCAAAATAAAAAAAAAGAAACAAATTGATTTTTGAATAATTAATTATTCAGGATGTTTGATATGTAACGGTCATTCATGCCTAACAGATATATTTATCTAAATTTACTGAAATAGAATTAATCATTCATATATGCGCAAAATCTATGTTATAATTTTTTTAGGCTTATCTTTATCTGATAAATAATTTTTTCTACCCAAAAAAAATAGAAATAAATAAATAAATAAACCAATGTTTTAAATATGCAATAAATTTAATTTCACCAAAAAAAAAATTCAAATCAAATCAATTTTTTTTTTCTAATAATTAATAAAATTTGTTAAAACCTGACGATGAGCCCAAATAACGGAGCCCAGTAATTTCCATGTACCTGCTCGTCGATCAATGCGTAGCATACGCAGAATTTGAAAAAATCTTAAGCCACGTATTGCTGATGCTGCAAATACCTGTAAATAAAAAATTAAATTATGAAATAAAATTTGAAATTTAGTTTCAAAAAATTTATTTGTAATAGCATGATTATATTATAATGTGAGGTTTGTATTATAAATTAAGATTTTAATTAATAATTTTATTTGCTATTTGAATAAGAAATAGTGCTTTTTAAAATATTGGAAAATTTAAAAGACATTAATTAATTACATACTTCAAATTTATCACTAATATACTTTTTAATTTTTACAAACAATTAAAACATGGAAGAAATAAGTTTTTTTTTTTAAATTATCATGAAAATCTTAATCGTTTAATGAATGTTATATAATAAAATATGAAACTAGAAAAGAACTCCTACAAATTATAATTGAATAATAAAAGATTGTAGTAAAATTTGGATTTCAATTAATTGTTTAATTAAGGAAAATCTGTAAACCAAACTAATCAACTTATTCCTTTTTACGTTTTTTTTCTTTTTTTTTTTTTGAAGAGAGGAAGGAATGTCGTTTGGTTTTACATTTTAATGTCGTCTGATTTTACATTTTATTCGTTCCTTTTTTTTTTTTTGTTTGGTAAACTTTAAAGAAGTTTTAAAAAATTAATTCATTGCAACAAATAAACTTTTATGATATTTAAATAGATTCCATGCTTATCATTAATAATTTAAAAAGAAAGTGAACTAAGTTTTGCATTTTTTTCTTTAAAAAAAAGAAGAAAAAAAGAAAGAAAGAAAACTAATTCAAATTCAAATTGGTAAGAAAAATAGCAAAAGATAGAATTTAATAAATTTTCTGTCGAATTTAATTAAAAACAATGAGTATTAAACATCAAATTTATATATTACATTTTTAAAAGAAAAGAAATTTTTTAAATTAATTTTTTTTTCTTTGAAGATTATTGCAAATTGTATTGCAAATCATTTTTGAAAAATAAAAATGATGAATGCAAAATTTATTTCATTTTTAAGAAAAAAAATATCTTAGGAATTTATTATATTCCTTTTCGAAACATTACGAATAGCTTACTTTGAAAAAAGTTCTGAATCCTACTTAAAATGATAAAAGCGAAATAATGATCACATGTTGACAATTGACGATGACAATTATTTCATGATGATAATTGACAATGATAATAATTTCATGATTGTAATTTTTATTAAAAAAATTAAATTCTATACTAAATAATTTTTAAAAAGAAATTATTTTTTTTAAAAATAATTATTTCTTTTCATTATATTTCATTCTTCGTCATTATTAAATGTTCAACAGATTATGGCTTTGTGGAAAAAATAAAAATAAATAACTGTGTTCCTTTTTAAGCTTATTCATTAATAATGTCATGATGATATTATCATGATGATAATTGAATTGTTGTGTTATTAATTAACGTAATCTATCAATTTAAAAAAAAAGAAACTTCTTAAAACTTCGTTTTAATTTCGCAAAAAAAAAAAAAAAATGAAAATGTCCGAAATATAGAAAATTCATAAAATCAAATCAAATAGTGAAAAAAAATTTTCTAAGAGCAGAAAAATAGAGCTTTTCACTATGCATATGCAAATATTAATTAATTATTATCACATGACTAATTGAAATAAACCACCACAAATCATTATCAAAAGTTATCATTTCAATTATAAGATTGAAATTTTAGTATAATAAATCACTATGTTGGAAGCTGATGTCATCATATATTTTAGAAAAATTATCATGTATCAAATCTATTATTATATATTTCACATTAAAAGATGGCAATATTGAAATTTAAAAAAAAAAGAAGAATGAAATTTTTGCTAATTCGAAAAATTTTCTTTTTCTTTTCTTACACAATAATTGAATTAAAAATTTTAACCTTTGAATAATTTTTCTCGTCGCTAAATTTGGCTAATGTTAATGATGCATTATGATGCTAACTTTTTTAGCTGCAACATTTTTTAATTAAAACAACCAAAAGGAGAATAAACCAGAGAATTGATGACAATTTGGTAACAATTTGTTGCTATATGAGATTTTTAGGTACAGAAAAAGATCTTTTCCTCTTGTCTTTTTGTTATTTAAAAAAAAAAACAAAAATAAAAATAAAAGACGAAATCCTTAATTAGTATTCAACAAAATTGTATATTCGATTAGGCAATATTGATTTGTATTGATCTTTGATGTACTAAAAAAGAAAATATTTGAGAATACCTATTTCTTTAAATTTTATATACATACACCTTTTTTTTTCTTTATTCTTTGAAACTTAATTTGATAAAAATTTTTGAAATCAAAATTGATGAGAAAAAAAATGGTATAGAATGAAATAGCATGGAATAAAATGAGATTCAAATAATTAAATAAAACATTTAAAATGGCAAATTGAAAAAATTTTCTCACATAATGCTATATATCTGATAGCTGAAATTACAAAAAAGAAAAAAGGAAAAAAAGAAGAGGAAAATTCAAAATTATTTCGAATGCAAATATTTTATGATGAAAATTTCAAATTTAATAACTGATATTTTTATTAGCTTTCAAAAAAAAAGAGCTATTGCAGGTAAGAAAATTAAAAAAAAGAAACTTTTATTTGGTTATTTAACATCTTTTTTTTGTTTTTTTTCATTTCTAATGTTATAACTATTTCAATTCAACTATATTAAATTTTAATTTATAATTTGAAATTTATCTTTTATCAATTTTAGATCATAAATGTATTTATCGATTTATTTGCTTCTTGTTTTGCTTATATTTTTCTTCCTTTTTTGCGATTAATAAAAATATCTTGAAGAATTGATATATTTTAATCGATGATCATTTGATCGTTAACAGTTATTAATGAAATAAGAATGAAAAATTTTAACCTGTCCAGTTGCACCAATACATAAAACTATGATTGATGCTATAATAACAATAATATCTGAAAAAAAAGAAATTTATTTCCAAAAGAAAAAAAAAACTAAATTTTATTCTTTTTTTATAAAGTCTTAAAATATTATGAAACTTTTTAAAGAATAATTTATAATTTTAGCAATATTACGAAAGAATTAAAAACAGAGAAATCATTTAGTCAATAATTTTCCGGTTGTTATTATTACCCAGTAAAACAATTATTTTCTTTATTTTTTTCTAAATTTCTCTTTTTTTTAATTTAACTTTGATAAATATAATGTGATAATAGCAGAAAGCTAAGCTAATATCATGATATCATATGATTAAAATAAAATTTTGTCTTGAAATCTTTTAACGAATACTATTTTTGGTATTATTATTATTGCTTTGTTATCATTACTATTATTATTATTATTATTATTATTATTATTATTATTATTATTATTATTATTATTATTATTATTATTATTATTATTATTATTATTATTATTATTA